CATCTTAGGGGACTGCGGTTATGGGCGGTTGGGCAGGAGAGCTGCGAGCCTTTCTCTCCCAGTTGGAAAAGACCTGACCTGGGGGAGGGGCCCAGGCTCCTGTTCAGTTATGTGGCTCCATTGTCATCTGGGCCTCCTCCCCAACCCCATGAAAGAGGACAGGGCCACAGCAGATGCTCCTTAGTCCTTGTTACCCATGAATGAACTATGTGTCAAGGCTGCTCTTGGAAGCCATGTATCTGTACCTACTCCTCGGTGTGTACCTACATATACATACATGGACATGGGGTATGTTTTTATGATACAAATTGTGTATATTACACCTATGTATATATGTGTACACATATTTTTGTGTGTGCTTCTGTGAATGGCTGTATTTTTCTTGATTCTACAAAAGGTTGAAAACAAGACAGAGGGGAACAGAAAGGCACCCTGAGTCCATTATTGACTGTGGGGGAGCAAGTGGGTCAGGCAGAGTGGGGATGCAGGGATGGCTGATCTTTGTACCTTTGTCCCCACAAGCTCCAGCTTCCCAAGCACTGAGCAAGGCAAAAGGATTGTTCATTCTTGGCTTGAATTCTCGGCTGTGCTGCTACAGCTTCCATTGATACCCCTACAGGCCCAGAACTCTCTAGTTCTGGTCTGGAGAACCAGTATTTCTTGCCCCGGGCAAGGAGCAGAGGCGCTCAGGGTCACAGCCAGGAGCAGCAGCTGCTCCTCATGCGCGCTCAGCCATGCTGTCCTTTTCCCTTCACGTCCACATTAGCCTCCCGGCTTTATTGGGAACTGTATTCTCCTTGCTTAATCTTTTGTTTGCAGTGTTTTTCCACAAGGAAAGGGCATAGACCCCTTTACTGTCTCTCTCTGAGCTTCATCTTGGTGCATTTGTCTTACGACACTTCTCAGCACTCAAACAATATGTGAAGTCACTGTTCTCACCTCATTTTGAAAGTGGCCAAGATCTTTAGGATGTTCTGTTACAGAGGCCTTTGTGGGTAACAAGACGTGAGAAGCACATCTTCAAGGTTAACAGGAAATCAAGGGGAAGATATAACCCCCATGTGAAAATGGATTTCTATTGGGGCGAGGGGGTGTGTGTTGGGCTCGGGGAGATGTGCACCCACAACCATGGCTGAAGTTGACTCCAAAGGCGCAGGTCAGATTGGCGTCCAGACCTGGGAGTGGGGGCAGGTCAGGGGCAAGGGACCCAGAGCCAGCAGAGTCTGACCCCACAGTGTGGCCTCCACACCCAGAACTGAGTGTCTCTGTGGTCACCGAGACCTTGGATATCAAGGATGTGGCAGTGACCGTGATGTCTGGGCTGAAGGCACCACCTGAGCTTCCCCGATGTGATGTGATTTCAGGAAGAAAAGGAACTGTGCTGTCTTCCATCTCAGCGTTCAGACTGTACCTCACACCCCAAAGCAGTATGTCCAGTCCTGCAACAGACTCTTCCTCCCTTCTAGAGGGGGCTATGGCTTAGGTGTGCAGTGAGGGTGTTAGACCGGGAGCCGGGTTACCATGGATGACCAGGAGACTGTCTCAAAGACTGACCATGTTTCACTAACCCAAGTTTCTTCTGAAATCCCTGCTTTAATGTGACATTCCTCTTGAGAGTTCCTTTTCCATGTCCACCGTAGGAAACCCCCCAGATACTGAGAATAAAGTAATATAGGGCACATCAAGTTTCTGAGGAAGCAACTGGTGTTCAAAAAACATCAGGAAATACTAATTCCCTCTCTGTTCCTCTCTCACTTCTGTCCCCACTCTGGAAGCACAGGAGGAATCTCATCAGGTCCCTGACAGTCTGCACTTGGGATAGTCACAGGTGGGGTGCAGTGGGTGCAGCCCTCCTCTACAGGACACATCTCCAGTTCCCTCTGCTCTCCTGACTGGGTTCGGAGGCCACACACCTCCCTCAACACGCTCTGATGGAAATTCTCAGAGCTCAAGGCTGGGACCTCCTAGACTGGGTCTCAAGTGAGCTTTTCCTTATTTCCTGCCAAGCTTGCCTGTCAGGTAGGAAACAGATCAGAGCAGAGGGGCAGGTCCACCCTCCCCCACACTCTACCTGTGTGAGCTGCATTCTGGAGGAGCAGCGTTAGGGGTGTGGACTCCAGAGACAATGCTCAGATACTCACCTTGCATCCATCTTCTCCTGGTCAGCGCATGTATAGAGGACACAGGAGTGATGCCCAGGTGGGGACAGCTATTCTGAATGAGAGGTGCTCTCTCCTTATAAAGAGGAACCCAGGTTCTCAGCAGGATTACATGCCTCTCCATGTCCCCAAGGACATCAGTTACACTTAGACAAAGACACTGGCTTCTCAACTCTTTCATTAGCTGTGAAATACCCAGACAGGAGAGCCAGGCCTCTCATCCAGTGGAGCACATTCAGGAGACGGCGGGAGGACCTCGGCTTCATCCTGACACTGGGAGTGAAGGATGCATCAAGCAGCTGGAGTGTGGCCTCCTGCCCTCCCTTCCTTACTCTGTCCTTGCACGCGCCCTCCAGACTGTGTGCCCATGGCGTTTGACCCAGACTCTGTCACGTCCCACTGACAGCCGGCATAAGGCCTAAGACAGGGACACATGGCGACGCTTGCATATATGGAGGACTCTCCACACTGCAGACACCGAGCAGCAGGCATTCTCCCCAGGAAGGGGCACAGGTCAATGGGGATTACACCTGAAGAGGCTCAGAGACTCCGTTTGGGAATTGGAGGAAGGTTGGGGGGGGAGGTGCAGGTGGTGACAGGACAAGAGGTGTGGACTTGGTGCGCCCATACTGTGCACCCCATCATGGTGATGATAACGCTGATGTCCTGTGTACCTTACCACAATAACATGTAGTCACAAAACGCGAGACTCCTCTGTGCCCAGAAGGCACTAAGTGCTCATGGTCAGAAGTTGTTGGAGAAAGTGGGCAGAGACCTCTTCACGCTCCCCACATCTTGTTGGAGCCACTTCTCCTTCAGCTACTGGGGTGTCTGCAAAAGAAAAGGGTGTCTCTGTTCACCCCCTGGTAGTCCCTCCCCCTGTGAACGTGACCCTGAAGCAGAAGCCCTGGTGTGAGCTGGGCCCAGTGGGGCACCTGAAGAGGCGCAGCTGGACTGGGAGGAGGAGCTCTGGGGGAAGGGCCAGAGTGGGGGACTCTGCCCATGTCATGCTCCTTTGTCCCACTCTGAGTTCTCAGAGCTGTCTGGGTGTCTACACTGATGGTTTAGGTCTGTTTGCCTGTCTGTTGTTTGTTCCTACTAAGTGGAGATATTTTCAGCGACTGTATCTTTAATCACTTTTCTGCCCTGTTGTCCGGGGTGGAGGGAATCCTGCCCATGTCCATGACCTTTGTCCTGCTTTGAGATCACTGAGCTTCCAAACATTAATGTTTGGGTTTGTTTCATGAAAATTGAAACTTTTCAGTCATTGTTGCCTCCATACTTTTACTCCTTCATTCTCCCTCAACTTCTTGGGCTCTTACTATACATCTGTGCATTATTCCAATTCTCCAGGCTTCATGCACTTTCCATTTTGCTTTCTAGTTACTGAAAAGTATAGAAAAATTACAAATTCATTCATGAAGACCACAAAGCAGCTTTGTCTCCTGACAAGTGGCTGAGCTCAGGTCTGGGCCTCTGTCCCAGGTCAGAGCAGCTGAATCATGAGCAGGCGGGGTAGCTGAGACAGGGGGATGAGGGGCCTGGGCCAGTGTCACATGCACATATGCCTGCCCTGTAGGATGGGCTTAAGCCTGTGAGCAGTTCCTCCTGCCTTCCCCTGATGGAGCCTGTGGGATAGAGGGGGAGCCCCAGGTAGTGTCCCAAGAGTTAGTGGAAAATTCTCTATCAGAAAAAGTAATAGTGCTGCCCAGCAGATTGGAAGTCAATGAAAGCCTTGTGGTTTGTGACAAGATGCCTTCAAATGATAACCAACAGCTCGAGGTCATATTATATGCGATCATCATTGATTTTCTAAGTTGCCAAAATTTCAAAAATACGATCTACTCGGTACTTAACTCAAAGTGTCCAACACAGTTACTGAATGACTTACCCCAACATTGCTGAACACACTTGGGGTTTGCAACTTGGGTGTGAAGAGAGACAAAAATCATAAAAGGACAGGACATGACAAGTTATTACCACACAGTCACACCTGGCACAGGAAGGAGAATGAGAGGACACTTTACATGTTTCACCTTCTGGTAATCAGAAGATGCAAAAGAAGAATGATGTCCAATTTCAGAGATCGTAGTCTTTTCCAATCTGTGTTAATTTAAGAAAGAACACAGAGAAGTAATGTAATCCAATGGTGTTTGCTTGTATCCCAAATAGATTCACACCTCGAAATATCTCCACCTGGGACACTCAGAATGACTGACAAAGTTGTTCTCCTCAGTCTCTGCCTCTATTCCAAAAACTGCTTTCATACAGGGACATTACACCTTCGTCCTTGCCACAATTTCAGAGCAACACTGACCTTAGGATGAACCTGGCCTGGCCCACACACAACCTCAAGTAGAGTCTCTGTTCCTCACCCACCCCCAGCAGTTTCTGCTTGGCTGAACTTACCAACACATGATGGATGACCAAGCTCTTGACTCTGTTTCAGGAGAGACCACTGCCTCCTTCTTTTGCACTGAAATAATTTGGGGTTATCTCCAAAAGGAAGTTTACATGATAGGATTGAACAGGTGCTCAAATCTGAAGAAGCAATTGCCTAAACACGAATTTAGGCGACCGGGTTCATATTCCATCAGTAGAGGGTCTGTGTTAGAGTGGGGGGACACCCTGCAGGCAATGCCCATTCCCCAGGCCCCACACCAGGGTCTTCTCTTCCTGGGCGTGGTCACACCTCCATGGCCTCAGGAAGTGGTTCTTGCAGCTCCCCCACCACACAGACCAGAAGGAAGTGGGATATGGTAAAATGCATAACTTAAGAATGTATTTAACCAGGAGGGGCTAAGTGGTCGCTGAGCCTGCCCATTCTTACTTCACCTCCAGGGTTGAAAAGCTGGAGGGAGGAAGCAGAGACCACATTGGACCTGATCAGCCTCAGAGAAGATGCTGCCCCTCCTGTCCTTGTTGGCCAGTGTCCTACTCTCCGGGGTTGAAGGAGGTAAGTGACCCTCTCTATTCTCAGCTCCACCTCCACCACACAGGCTTAAACCACTCGTGACACTTCCATAGTGTCCACTGAGGCTCCTTTGAGCCTTCCTTGCTCAGTCTACTCTCAGAAACTGCTGAAACCCAGACCTCTATCTGAATACACAGGACAGAAATCACAGCAAAGGAATCTACTCCCACGAGACCTGGGGTGTCATTTCCCTTCCATGGCTCTCACTCCTGTCACCTGAACAGGGACTTATATTTAGGATGGGACAGGATGCAGGGGAGGGGAGAGCTGGAGTTGATGTCCATAATTTCCATTCTGCACACCTAAGTCAGGTTAGGTGTCTGCTATGGCAGGAGCTGTCCTCTGGACCAAGAATGAAGGAGTTTTCTTAAATTCAGGGTCCAATTGTCACCTTCTCCCTGCCCCCACTCTCTGGCCACTCAAATCTATCAGAGGAAAATTCAGACACTAAATGAGCCAGGGCATGTGGCCTCACCATGCTCCCAAGGCCTAATGGACACTGACTCCCACCAGGCTCACTCCCACCCATTTCCCCAGCCCACTATGATTTTGAAACTTGTCTAATCTTCCCCCTTGATCCTCTAGTCAATTTCTAAAAAGACAAATCTGTGCTGAGAATCAAATTGCATTAGCACCACTCCTCTCTGCTGCTGACAAAGGAACTGGAGTATTCACTGTGTGCCCAACAAGCCTTTTGGGGGTATGTATCATGCAGCTGACTCAGGATGGGGAAAATGAATCCTGAGTTTTCCACTGCACAGGATCCAATTTTTCAGGTCTGAGACTAGGCCAAGCCTGGGAGTAGGCAGGACACAGGTTGTCTGAGAAGTGTGTGACAGAGAATCAACCAGTCTAGGTCAAAGAAACTAATTTCAGGTCGTGACGACCTCTATCCAGAGCACACATCCTTCCCCGGGACATGTGTTTGAGGGTTTGATATTCAGTCGGGCAGAGCCCCCCGCTCCACAGAGGAACCGAGAACCAGGCGAGGAAACATTCCCATGTCCCCATGCGCCCAGGGGGCCCAAGTCCATATCCCAAGGTGTTGGGTCCTTGAAGACCACGACAGCCCACCCCAGCCTGGGTCATTTCATCCATTGTTTCAGCCTGCAAGGCAAAGCCCGAATCTTTTTCTATGAACTAAGAGATCCAGGGAAGTTTCTCTTTCAGGAGCGATCTACTGGGGTAAAGAGGCCAAACCACACTCCCGGCCCTACATGGCATTTATACAGGTCAATGGTGACCGAAAAGGTCAATGTGGGGGGTTCCTGGTGCAAGACAACTTCGTGTTGACAGCAGCTCACTGCAAAGGAAGGTGAGAACAAATGGGGCCTTAGCATCCTGGGATATCCTACACGGCCCAGGCAATTCAGGAGGTTCCTGAGCACCCAGAGCACATAATGGAGTCCTGGTAACCTGTGTGGCTGGGCAGAGGCAGTGTGGGATTCATGGAGCATCGGGGGGAAATTCCCAGCCCGAAGGCCCATCACAGCCTGGGTCACCTCTGCACAGCAAGGAAGGGGGACACCCACCCTCCCCTCCTTCCAATCTACTCAGCTGGGGGTCTAGAGGCTGCGCTTCAACCTGCCCTCCAGAGACTGTGCTTTGTGCTTAAGCACCCGACTTCACATGCTCCTTGTGTTACAGCGAAATGAATGTCACGCTGGGAGCTCACAACATCAAAAAGAAGGAAAAGACCCGGCAGGTCATCCCTGTGCTCAGACCTTTCCCCCACGAGGACTATGATGCTGAGAAACTTATCAATGACATCATGCTGTTGAAGGTACCATCTTGCTGACTTGCAGGGGCAACTGCACAAGTCACAGGAGTGAGCACCCCACCATGGGTATGAGTTCCCACCTCCCTCCAACTGGATGCACGTCCCGGGTCAGTGAACAGAAGGGGTCTGGGGAACGGTGGTGCAGCGTATTGAGTGCAGCGCTGTGAGGCTGTCCGCAACCTCCGCAGTGCGGGTTCGATCCCGGCCACAGGCGAGGGTCCCATATGGCGCAGCAGACCTCTTCTATCTCACCCGCTGCTCCCCTCAGCAGTGTATTTTTGTCATCTGCCTGTTCTGTTCCCTGCTCTGTCTCTGGTGAAGCCTCTCACCCTCCTGCACCTCTGGTCTCTACCCCAGCTCTTGTATAAAAATAAATAAATCTTTAAAAAAAAAAAAAAGAAGGGGGCTGGGGAGAAGACTCTCGCAGGGTAGCGGGAGGGCAGTGGGTACAGGCAGTCTCCCCACAGGCCTGAGCCCAGTGTAGGCCGGGACATGAAGTACCCCCTCTCCTTTCTGACTAGCTGAAAAAAAAGGCCCAACTCACCAAGACTGTGAAGCCCATTGCCCTGCCGCGTCCTCGGGACGTGGTGAAGCCCGGGCAGGTGTGCAGCGTGGCGGGCTGGGGAGAAATGGCAGATGGCAACTCTCCAGACACACTTCAGGAGGCAGATCTAAAAGTGCAGGCTGAGAAGACGTGCAAGGATCTCTTCCCAAATGACTACAACAACTCCATCCAGCTGTGTGTGGGAAAACCTAAGTCCAAGAAGGCCACCGCAAATGTAAGGAGAAAATCCCCTTCCCAGTCTTGCCCCAGGGTGTCTGTGACATTGGGGTGCTTGACGAGGCTTCGCCCATATCACAGTGTACAGTGGCCAGGTTCCACTCATGGGTGGAGGCACGTTCTTCCCAGCACGGGGGCAGGTTCTCCCTACATCAGCCTCTGGGCCTTTGTCCTGGGGTAACAAGAAGGAGCCTGGGCCTGGGCTGAGTTGAGGGAGACACAGCCAGGATCGGCAATGGTGAGAGGAGTCACACAGGCCCGGAAGCTGCACGTCCACTACAATCAAGGCCTGGTGTTCAAGGCCTGGTGTCTGATGAACATTCAGTCCCTTCCCTGGGACACCTGAGCCCTGAGAGAGAGGCCAAAGGACCGGGGGATGATGAACCTTAGAGCTTGGAAGCCAGAGGGCTGTGACTGAGACTTGTCCCTTTTCTCTCCACAGGGGGACTCTGGGGGCCCATTTGTTTGTAGAGGTGTGGCCCAAGGCATCGTCAGCTATGCTGACGATGAGAGTCCTGAGTTACTTCCCCAGGTCTTCACCAGAATCTCCAGCTTCCTGCCCTGGATCCACAAAACAATGAAACTCTCCAGGGGTAACTAGACCACTGCCACTTGTTCATGGTCTCCATCTAAATGTGGGGGCCACTTCTGACTCGTAATAAACACCACCTCCCAGTGAGAGTATTTGTGTTCTCTCTGTTGAATGAAATCAGCCATGAACCAGGTCAAACTCCCCGTCTTCTCCTGTCCTCCCATCACCCACCTGCAAATGCCCACACATGCCACCAACTCCCACCTATACCTCTCCAGCCCATCCACAGTGGCATAGGTGGACCCTCTACCCTGTCACCAGGAGGGACTGTCTCCCAACAGAACAATGGAACTCACTTCCCAGAGACCCTCAGGGAGGCCTTAGCTACTTCCTGGATCCCAGCCCAAACCCCAAAGAAGAAGACTGGGAGGAAGCATGTGTGGCCCTACTTCCCACACCTGATGTAGGCCGGGTCACATGAGCCCCACCTTTCCCTGAGCCCCCTGCTTGGTCTCTCTGTGGTAACACCTCAGTGGGATTTCTACTCTGGGTCTGTCCCCGCCAAGTCCTGTTTGCCAGTCCCCTGTGTGTTTGCAGCAGGGCCTCAGGGAAGACCAGATTGTACCCCCCTAATCCTCATGGCACCTGTGACAAGGTGACAGATGGTCTCCCACCTTAGACACACCTCCCACTAGAGTAGGGCTACTCAGCCCTTGTCCACCAGCTGCCCCACAGCCTTTGCTAGAGCTAAATCAGCTGCCAACTACTCGCCTATTAGCTTCATGTCTTCATGTCCCTCTTGGAAGTATCTTGCCAGCGGATATCTTGAATAAGGGCCATGTCTGTTCCAGGCTCGTGGTCTAAGAGAGAGAAGGAAACACATGCTGAGTCTCTTCCCATTATTTTTTTATCTAATTTTGGAGTTATATTTTCACTCCTCCATAAGTGCTCATGTCCCACTTACCAACTCCACCAAGCCACCTGTCCAATACCCCATCTGCCTCCCTCCACCTTCCCCTTCTCCCACCCTTCTATTCCCCCTGGCAGAATAGAGGCAATACTGGACATTCACTGACTCCAAGATTCACTCCTCCTTTGCCTCTGTGTGTTTTTTCCTTATCTATATTGCACAGATGAGCAGAGCCATCTGATATCTGTCTTTCATCCTGAATTATTTCACTTAACATAATCACCTTGAGTTCCATTCCTTTTGTCCCAAAAGGCACTGTTTCATCTTTTTAATAGTCGTATAGTATTCCATGGAGTACTTAGTCCACAGTTTCTTTATCATTCATCTGTTGGTAAGACTTCGTTTGGTACCATGAGTTAGCTATTGTGGATAGTGCTGCTATGAAAGTAGCATAAGTTCTTTCGTATTAGACTTTTCCTATCTTTTTGATAAATTTCTAGCCGAGGTACTGCCAGACCATATGAGATATCCATTTTTACTTTCTTATGATATCTCCATATCATTTCCCATTGAGGCTGCCCCAACTTGCATTCCCATCAGCAATGAAGGAGAGTTCCTTATTCTCCACATCCTTGTCAATATTGATATCTTCATTGTTTTTGCTATGGGTCATTCTCACAGGGGTGAGGGGTATCTCATTGTGGTTTTATTTGCATTTCCCTTCTGTTGATAATAACTGATGTTGAACAAATTTTCACATGTCTGCAGGCCTTGTGAATGCCTTCTTTAGAAAAACTATCTATTTAGGGCTTTACCCCAGTTTTTTGATTGGGTTGTCTTCTTTTTTCATTGTTGGATTATTTAAGTACTTCATATTTTGTGGAAATTAGCCCCTCACTATATATGTTATGTGCAAATATTTTTCCCTATAGGTATCCTATTTTTTGTGCATGGTGCCTTCTTTTGAGGTACAAAAGCCTTTCAGTTTAATGTAGTCCCATGGTCTATTTTTACTTTTATTTCCCTTGCAAAGCTGTATGAGAAACTTGCATCTCTTCCCAAATTCCGTGTGCTCCACTGAGGCACCATAGTTGAGCATTTAACCTGGAAGATAGGACTTGGAATTTCAGGCCTCCAATTCACTTCTAATAAAACAGATGGCAGCTCTGGGGTAGCTGCTGATCAGAAAGACAGTCAGCTTAGAATGAAGAAAGAAAATCACCATGCAATTCCTGTGGTTATTAGCCTGCTCTGCCCTGCCCTGCCCTGCCCTGGCTTAATGGATTATAAAACCCACAGCTGGAAAATAGAAGCAGCACTCGCTATGGGCAGCCTCTCTGAGAAGATGCATCGTCTTCCTCTCACCCTGCTGTTCGCTGTCCTGTGCTCCAGGGCTAAAGCTGGTGAGTCTCGGGCCCTTTCCACTAGAAGCCGCAGGTGCAGCTCTACAACAAAGTTTAGTCTGAATAGAGTTGACTCTCAAAGAGGGTTCCAGGCTCTCTCTTCAAGAGCCAGAGTGGAAGCTTCCACTTGGGATGTGCCCACCCATTGTCTGCAGCCTGTAATAGTTCTCAGGAATCCCACGTTGATTGGGGGACATCCCAGAGCAAGTAGAAAAGGAGACATGTGTGTCTTCTCAACACAGAAGGTGAGAGCATGTATGAGGGCCTAGGCCCCCTTCATCCTCTCCATTTCAGACCGTACATTGTCTAGTAATATGGCATTCGGGTACCACTCACGGCTGTGCAGAAGGATGATACAGGAGCCTGGAGAGACTGGCTTAGTGAAAAGGAGGGCTGAGGCAGAGGCAGAATGGGAGTGAGGGAAAGCCCAGATGAACAACACCTGCATGGTTGCTGCGCCTCCATGATGGGAGGAGAACTCAGTGGGAGGCTGCGGGAGGGGAAGGAGGCACCAGATACATGAGAGGGAGGATGGACAGAGCACAGGGCCAGGGTGAGTAAGGAGAAGCCTCTCCCTCTTGAACCCAGCTCGCACATTCTGTGGAGAGAACACCAATGCTTGTGCTCAGGCCTGGGTTCTCTGTTCCAGGGGAGATCATTGGGAGCACAGAGTCCAGGCCACACTCCCGCCACTACATGGCCTATCTGGAAATTGTCCTTCCCCAGGGTAACCTAGCCACATGCGGTGGCTTCCTGATAAGAAGGAACTTTGTGCTGACAGCCGCCCACTGTGCAGGAAGGTGAGACATCAGGGCCTGTCTACCGCAAACCAGGGTATAAAGAGCCCCAGGGTAGGAACCAGGAGCACACCCTTGGTGACCAGAGAGGCCCTTGGCCTGTGTCAGCCTTAAGAGGAGGCAAACTTGGGCAAACATCACAGAAGGCCTGATCCTCAGTCACTGAGAACACAACTCTCCTACAAAGGATCACTCTTGCTGCTGTGTGGGTGGTGCTCATACAGGGCGCCCTGAATTAGGAAATGCTCGTGCTGTTCTGGGTCCTCCTTGGACTCTGCTCAGTCTCCAGCAACTCCAAAGGTCCTGGAAATTATCTCTGTTCCCTGAAAACTCCCTTCCCTGAGCAAGACTTGAGCCCCCCCAATGGCAGAAGTGGACCAAGAGAAGAGGGGTGGCAGCATCAGGTGACCCAGTGAAAGACTCCACTTCCTGTTCCCCAGAACGGGCACATCTCAGACCATCACTGTTTCCCCTTGTCCTTCTGCCCCCTCACAACAGGCTCATAGCGGTGGTCCTGGGGGCCCATGATACAAGACAGAAGGAAGACATGTGGCAGCAACTCAAGGTCATAATACAGTTTCCTCATCCAAAGTATGGCGACATGAGTGTCCAGCACGACATCATGTTACTGATGGTGATGACATGTTCCTCCCTTCTCTACCTCCTGTCGTTCAGTCTTCTCCTGAGGGTCCCCATACCCCCAACCTGCCTCCAGACTGCACCCCAACAATCTGTCCTGGATGTGACCCTCCCGTGGCACCATTGGTGCTGTCCCTCCCACCTTCCTCTACTACCCCCGTCCCTTGTTCAGAACTGACAGCCCCTCATTCCCCTCACAGCTCAAGGAGAAAGCCAACCTGACCCTGGCAGTGGGGACTCTCCCCCTGGCACCCCAATTCAATGTCATCCCACCTGGGAAGATGTGCCGGGTGGCAGGCTGGGGAAGAACAAATGTGCCCAGCCTGGGCTCCCACACTCTGCAAGAGGTGAAGCTGAGAGTCCTGGAACCCCAGGCCTGGGGACACTTCCCCAAGTTTGACCGCAATATCCAGCTGTGCGTGGGCAATTCCAGGAAGACAAAGTCTGCGTTTAAGGTGATCCTCGGAATAGGATGCTTCTCCACAAATCACTCTGCAGGGACTGGGCTCTCCTGAAGGAGATGGGGTGAAGGCTGCCGGGCAGCGCTGGCTTTGCGATCATGGCGCCTGGGAGGCGGGAATGTCTCTCTGTGGAGCCTCTTGCATAGCCCCGTGGAGCCCCTGACGGCCCTCCAGGACCTACGTGGGCCCATAGGGTGACTTTATTTTACGACACAGAGAGGTTTAGAATGCCAGCACGGGGAAGGAGCCAGCACGGGGGCGAAGAAACGATAAAATGATAGGCCGAGGAGAGAGAAATGATAGTACCAGAGGATGGGTTGTCTTGATTTACTGATGCGCCAAACTGAGGGACATCCAGAACTGGGCTGTTGAAGTAGGTTCGGATTTTAGATCAAGAGCTTTTTTTCTGCAGTAAAATCTTCCCTCCTCACACTTCCCCTCAGTCTGTCCCCGCATCCACCCCACTCTCGCGCCTGGCGATGACATAGGTGTCCTCTCTGAATCCTTCCGGGTCCGGGGCAGGCCCCGCCCCGCCCCGCCCCGCCCCTGCTCTGCCCGCCCCCACGGAGCGCGCTTCCCGAACGGCACATGCGCAGAGAGGTCGTCCGCGTCTAAAGGGGGTTCTGGCCAGACTCCAATCCTGCGCAGGCGCAGTAGGTCCCGGTCGCGATGCGGGTGCTCGTGGGTGAGGGAAGAGTTAAAGGAGTGGGGGGCGGGTGTAGGGAAGATGAGACGGAGATGCAAAACTGGGGGCCGCTCCGAGGGGGGCACAAGGACCCAGGCCTGGAGATTAGGGCTTTCCCTGATCAGGAGACCTGGGTCACCTGCGCCTCGCGGGGAGGGCGGGAAGGACGGGGGAGTCTGGAAACGGGTGGGATGGCCGAGGGGGCCGCGGCGGGGACGCGGGCGTCCCCCGAGGATGGTCACCTCTGGCTTTCCGCGCAGGTGGAGGAACGGGCTTCATCGGGACAGCCCTCACCCGGCTGCTGAGGGCCAGGGGCCACGAAGTGACCTCGGTCTCCCGGAGCCCGGGGCCCGGGCGGGTCTCGTGGGTAGGTCGGGCCCGGGCGGGGCGGGGCGGGGCGGGCGCGGGCTCCGGGCATCCTGCTCTCTCCCCAGGACGCGCTCGCCACGTCCGGGCTGCCCGCCTGCGATGCCGCGGTCAACCTGGCAGGAGAGAACATTCTCAACCCTCCGCGAAGGTCAGCCCGGGCGCTCAAGCTCACAGTCATCAGAGCAGAGGGAGGACAGGAACCACTCTGATGACACCCCTGACCTGTGGAGGCAGGACTGCCGGATAGAAAACCAAACCCATGTCCCGGGCCACTCACCCTGCGCATCGCCTCACACCCACCTGCCCTGAACCCCGCAACCACTGGCTTTGTCCTCAGTTGTAACACTGGATGCCCCAGAAAAGATCCGGGAGGGCAGACCATTTCTCTAAGCCACAAAGCAGGGTTTTACTGGACCAGGGAAGTTTCCTCCTTAGACTGAAAAAACTCACATTTGCATGTGTGTATTTAGTAGCTTTTTAGTTCCCGTTTTTCCTGCAGGTGGAATGAAAACTTCCAGAAAGAGGTTCTTAGCAGCCGCCTGGAGACCACCCAAATGCTGGCAAGAGCCATCTCGGAAGCCCCACGACTTCCCCAGGCCTGGGTCTTAGTCACAGGTGTGGGTATGTGCCAGTCATAAGCTCCTAAATTTAGTCAGGGGAAGGGGGAGCAGAGGGGAGGCTCTTCTACCTGTAGGTGCCCAAGAGTGTGGGGCTTTACGAGACACAGGAACCTTTAGCCCCTGAGTCCAAGTACTTTCATGATCAATGGGGATCCTTGGAGAAAAGGGAAGGAGGGTAACACTGCTCCCAGTGCCAGGAAAAATTCCACCTACTCCCAAACTCCTTGCTTTTCACAGCACATTTCTCTAGGAATAGAATTCCTGGTTCTGTATTTCACCTCGGGGATCAAATAATTTCAATTACAGCATGTTTACCTAGCCCTATTCTGAGTGCCTTACACCTATTTAAGCATTTAGTCCTCACAAACACCCTGTGAGGTAGGTTATTAACCACATTTTGCAGATGCAAAAGTTCTGCCCAGAGAAGTTATGTTACTTGTCATAAAGTTAAGAAATGATGGAGCAGAGATTAAAATCCAGGCAGTCTGGCACCCAAGCCCATTTGTTCTCAACCACTGCTCTCCAGTAGCGGCTCAGCTTAATCCTTCACCAAAGAGTTGTTCCTCCAGGACTGGAGAGATCAGCTCATGACTGAGATCAGAAAATATTCATGACTTGTCTTCCCACGGGGAGATCCCAAGAGCTCAGGTGGGTGAGGCCAAGGGAACCTGTGACTGGTAAAGGTCAGGCACGACCAAGCTATCCAGAGCCAGGGCAATGGACGCTATTCCCGGCAGCTTACTACCTGCCCAGCCTGGCTGCGTAGTATGATGAGGACAGCCCTGGAGGGGATTTTGACTTTTTCTCCAACCTCGTAACCAAATGGGAAGCTGCAGCCAGGCTTCCTGGAGACTCTACACGCCAGGTGGTGGTGCGCTCTGGTGAGAACCCAGGGTTGGGTATCAGACAGGATCCACCTCCTTCAATCAGCTTGGGCCCATGGGGGTGTCAGAAGGGCTGAGCTTCCAGAGTGGGAGAGTGCCACCATTTCTGGCCGGCCTGCAGATGGGAGGATGAAAGTCCCAACACCCTACACCCTCGCTCTGCTGCAGGCTGAATCATAAACCAGTTTGCAAAGTGAGGAAAGGGAAACAGGAGGAACAGAACAGCCAGGCTACCTGGAGGCTGAGGGGCCTCCCTCAATCATCCCTTTTGTCTGTTCTCGGGGTTGTGTTGGGCCATGGGGGCAGTGCCATTGGTCACATGCTATTGCTTTTCCGCCTGGGCTTGGGAGTCCCCATCGGCTCAGGCTGCCAGTTCTTCCCTTGGCAGCCTGAGGCACATAAGGGACTTAGCAGCAGGGACTTATGTCCCCCCTCGCACATATGGGACTTAGCAGTTATCTTGACCCAAGCTGTTGATGCAAACTATATGCAGGGAGTTCTGAATGGAATGCCTCCAGCCTCCACCATTACAAATGCTGAATTTGCCCAGGCCTTGGGCACTGCCCTGGGCCACCCAGCCTTCGTCCCTCTCCCCAGCACTGTGGTGCAATCTTTCTTTGGGAAAGAGCACCCCATCATGCTGCTGGAGGGCCAGATGGTCATCCCACAGAGGACACACCACTGGCTACCAGTATTCCTTCCCGGAGATGGGGCTCCTTGAAGGAAGTTGTAGCCTAAGTGGGGAGGCTCAGGACAGAGCACAAGATCTCAGGAGAAGCTTCCTCGTTAGACTGAAGAAACTCAAGTACTGCTATACTTGAGACCTTTCTGGTTCTGTGGTGCATCATCTTACAAGGCACTCTATGAAGGCTGCCTGCCCCCACTTCTGCTGTCTGGTGACACCCCCAGGGTGGTGTGAGGATCCACTGTGGCCACATCATTGCCCACAGCTGATGACTCAGAAAAGACTACTTGTTCCAACCCAGACAGTAACCTGAGGCTGAGGTGGGGACTAGGAGATGGTATTGACCGATAGAGGTGCCAGAGCCCCAGAAATCATGTCCCTAATGACAGAACCACCGCCCCTTCACCTCCATCCTGCCAAGTCCTTCAGGATAGTTTCTTCAGCCGAGGTGCACAGGCCCTTGCTGTGCTGCAGCCAGACGCAGATGCAGCTGTACATGCCGTAGGTGCACAAGACAGTGACAGCCACAGCCACTAAATCCAGACAGCAGCCCTGCCTCATCCAAGCTTCCTTTCTGAGGGTTATTTATCATCCCTTTAAAATTACAAATGCTTCGAATGAGGCCATTTCTCTTGACTTTTGTTTTTACCAAAACTGGCCTTTGATATTGATTGACCTGAATAGCAAGTCTCTGTGGCCCTAGAAGTTGAGTCCATGGGCAGACAAGGCTCAGTCTTCCCTGCTTTGGGGGCACTTGTGTGGGTCCCACTCAAGCACATGGGCTAAGACTGGCAGAGGACGCCTTTTCCCAAGGAAGTTAGATTGCTAAGCTGCAATACCATGCATAGTGGGCAGCATGCTGGGCACTGGAGAACCAGGACTTGACCTTTTGGTGATCCCTGACCTCTGAATAAACCTCAGACTCATTGAGCTAATGAAAGCAGCCAGACACAACATACCATATAGTGCAAGGTTCCTCTGTGCTTCTCCCACCAGAATAGGACAAGCCTGGCTACAGATACACATGAGAGAAGTGTTGGATCATCCCTCAGGACATTAAAGATGATTAATAACAAGTAATGAGAAATATAATCACTTTATAATTTTGTTTTCTTTTTAAAATTTTCCAACAACTGTAGAAATTAATTGTAAGTAAAAATTCTAAAAACTAGGAAAGATACTATAGTGCCATTGACATACACTTTTAAGAACATGGAGGAAAGGCTTCAGTTGTTGGGTTTTATGAGATCACAGAAAATGGCACTGTAGATCTCATAGGATCCCAGGATTTAAAATTCAATGCTTATGTAACACTCTTTCTGTGGGAGATTGAAATGAATGACACTTTTCCTTCCTCCTTTGCATATTCTTCATGAACTTATATTAACACAATACTCAGAGGGGTAATTTATTTTTAAATAAGATCCACTACTAAGCAAATTCAAATTTATTCACCTCCAAGGTTATATTTGGTAGTGGGCATTTTATTTGGGAGAATGCTATTGCAAATGGAATTGTATTAATTTCTCTTTTTTTGGATTATTCATTGCTGGTGTATAGACTGACAACTGAGCTTGTATGCTGCCATGAATTTATTTATTTATTTTGCTATGGGGGGGATTTTCTATAAAGGTGTAGTCATGTTCTGCCAATAGGTAGTTTTACTTCATTTTTTCCAGTATGCATGTCTTTTATTTCATTGTTTTGCATAATTGTTCTGTTTGGACTTTGAATTCAATGTCAAATAGTGGTGGTGAAGTGGACATACTTATCTTGTTCCTAATATCAGTCTTTTACCACTACATAAGATG